AAGTCACAATCTCTTTCACTTTAGGGCAGACACATTGATAAATGCATTATTAGATTCCCTCCGAACCTATGTCATGTCCTTCCCTCAACCTGCAAAGGTTCCGAAGAAACTGGATAGGCTGAGAAGAGAATTCCTATGGTTTGGCACCAAGAAAGGGAAGGGGTCTTATTTAGTGAATTGGCGAACAGTCCAACTTCAAAAATCACTAGGGGGACTACGATTGAGGAACCTGAAGATTCAAAATGAATGCCTCTTGATGAAATGGCTATGGAGATACATGAAGGAAGATCAAGCTTTGTGGAAAGAAGTTATACAATGCAAGTATGGCCAAGACACTGAATGGTGCTCCAATGAAGCCACAATACCTCTCAATTTGGAGACCAATTAGATCTCTTTGGAACAAACTTGTCGTGACATGAAGCTCAAAGTAGGCAATGGACAGTAATATTTTTCAGGAAGGATGTCTAGATAGGACAAGAGACCCTTATGCAGACTTTTCCTGGTCTGTTCTCCTTTTGTAGGAACCTTGATATCACTATAGTAGAAAGTTGGTCCAATGGGTGGGATATTTCCCTTAGGAGGAATTTGAATGATTGGGAATAAGTAGAGTGGCAAAACTACTACAAGTGCTCAATGACTTCAAAGGGTAGATACAATCAACTAGAGACACACTGAGGATGGAAGGTTCTCTATAAACAAACTGTATAAAAAGGAAGTGGGACTGCATTAAGGGACTAGATTGACTAAATGAAGACAGGTTTGGACAAGTCAGGCACCAGCCAAGGTCAAATGTTTTATATGGTTGGTGGCTAAAATAGCATGTCTCACACAAGAAGTACTGAAGAAGAAGGGACGACAAATTGTTTCTAAATGTTTTATCTGCAATAGACAGATGAGACCGACAACGACCTGTTTCTACATTGCAGAATCACAACCCAACTTTGGTCCCTGTTTTTGAAACTCACAGATAGCAACTGGACTATGCGAGAACACACTGCTGACTTACTTAGTTGTTGGATCAGGAGAGGGAGGGTGGGGAAGCAAAAGGCAGAAAAAATGGTGGAGAATGATCTCAGCTCGCATTTGGCGGACAATATGGAAAGAGAGGAATGGAAGATGTTTTGAGAATAACATAAATTCCATCCAGAAGGTCAAAGAGAAATGTATTGTCTCCTTTTATTTTTGGTGTAAAGAGTAATGTATAGAAGAAGCAGAACAATTAGTAGATTTGCTAGTTTCACTGTAATAATCTTTGTATTTTACTCTCTGTTAACAAACATTGGAGGTCTCCACATATCCTTAATGCTAAGGAATACATACATTACCAATTTCAAAAAGAAAAAAAATTGGGGGAGGTGATTAGACAAGACTTGATATTGCTTTAGCTTGTTGAGGACATGACTATAGATAAGAAGGTGTGGAGGTGGAGGATTAGAGTCGAAGATTAGTAGGTAGCCAAATGTTATCGCGCTTTATGTGGGAGATTAGGGGGCTAGCCCCCTCTGTCTTCTTCTCACTATTGGTAGTATTATTTAGTAATTGTGTAGTTTCTTATTCTTCTATGATACTATTTATTTCTTCATTTCCTTTGTATCTTGTTATTTGGTGGTTATATTTTTCTTGTAATCATGCTTCGATAACATTTCTTTTAAACTGAGGGTTTATCAGAAACAACCTCTCTACCCCACAAAGGTAGAAGTAAGATCTAGTACATCCTTCCCTCCCCAAACGGTATATTGTTGTTGTTGTTGTTTGTGGTCCATGATCTAGGCAAGAAAATCTTGGACTTTAGAGGTCCAATATGTACTCTTATATAGCATCATTGGTCTTACAACTATTTAATAGCATTTGCTTCACTTTGGTAAGTATCTTTCTATCACATAACACTCCCATATTCTTCCATTTTGATCATCCTATTTTCATTTCATTCATCAATGGTGCTGGTGTTGCATGAACCTGATCGACCAAAAGGCATGGCCAAGATGAGCACGACCATCATAAAAATTAGGTATCCAGTGAACTTAGTAGTTTGCTTGTATTATTAAAGCGGTAAAAGTTCCACTCATGGATAGAGACATGGAAATGCGAAAGGCTTGTAGTCTTGCTTTTTCATCCTCGGGTAATTGAACTCCCTTAGGAAAAAATAAACAGTGAAAGATGGCTTCACCTTAAAATCATTCTCTAATAGGTTGGGTAAGAAGAGAACTAGAATTTTCTCACTCAATTGGCTGTCTAGGCACCTGGAGAGTGTGCCTTTCTGTTTAGACAGTTGCATAGGAACTATGTTGAGAACTTGAAAAATAAAGAAAAATACAAATTAGCAAGTCTTTACGCGAAACAGGGTGGTGATCATATCAATCATATACATAGATTGTAATGCATCTGGTGGAATATGTTTGGCCCATAATCAGTGATTGTTAGAAATTATTTGAGATTTTTTACTACAATGGATTTCTGGAGGAAGAGGAGGAAATTAAGACATGGGAAATAGCTCATTTGACGCTAATGTGAACTATAAAAAACAAAAAGGCGCTTAAGGGACTTGAAAATCTTTTCAACAGAGTGCAACACCTCCTTATTTTCTGTATACTTTTGGAGAGCACGTGATATTTTAGGAAGTATTGAGGCAGGATGCTATTTTAAGGGAATAATGTTTCTATATAAGACTATGTTGTATGAGGCGGAGTGTTGGCCAGTTAAGAACTCATCCTCAAAATATGAGAGTGGTGGAAATAAGGATATTAAGGTGCATGTGTGTACATACTAGGAGAGATAAAATTAAGAATGAAGATATCCAGTACAAGGTGGGAGTGAACTCTATGGTGGACAAGATGAGGGAAGCAAGACTCATATGGTTCGGGCATGTGAAGTGGAGGTATGCAGAGGCCCCAATGAGTAAGTGTGAGAGGTTGGCTGTGATGGGTTTTAGGAGAGGTAGTGGTAGTGGTAGGCCTGTTTGGGATTAGACAAGACATGGCTCAGCTCCAGCTTTCTGAGTACATGACCTTATATAGTTGGTTATGGAGGTCACAGATTAGGTTAGAAGGTTAGTAGATTAGGTTAGAAGGTTAGTAGGTAGTTAAGCGTTGTCTCATTTCCAGACAGGATAGGCTTGGTGGTAGTTTGATGTATTGTACCTGTTTTCCGTTCATACCAATAGTGTCATCTTTCTCTTAAGTTGCATGTCTTATGATTTTTGTTACTCGGTATTTACCGTGCTTCAATTAACAAATTAGTTGGTTATTGTTATCGCTCCTATTTTTTGAATGCTATGTTATGCTTTCTCTATTATTTTTTATGTCCTCTTTATGTTTTCCTTTAACTATTCTGATGTGTGTTACTTGAGCCGAGAGTCTTTCGAGAACAACCTCTCTACCCCCACGGGGTAGGGGTAAGGTCTGTATACATTGTACCCTCCCCAAACGATGCTAATGGGACTACACTTAGCTTGTTGTTGTGTTTGTTGTTGTTGTGTTTGTTGTTGTTGTTGTCTTCTATGTGAAAATTTATCTTACTGTATTAATAAGTTATAATCCTCACTATAAAGGTGGAAAATCTACTTGAGAAGGTAAGAAGTTTGGAATAGAGACACTGTTTTGTAAATTCTATTGATCAAGGAAGGCAGTAAAAATTTAATTAAGAGTTCATCCATAATTAAGAGCTGTGGATGTAGCGGGATTGCACATAAGAGATGCATAATTAGGGTTTGCTTTTATGTAATTCAGGTTGGTTTCTATAGAATCTTAGAATAGTTTTAAGCTTTTTTAAGCTGCTTTGTTTAGCATTTGTGTTATGTTACAGGCCTTTCAATTTAATTGGGGTGTTTTTTCAAGTTTTGTGGTCTTTATACTACAAGAATAGGGTTCCCAATTAGCTTCCTATAGTTTATGTTACAGAAGAGAAAAAAAATACCATTTGATTGCTTGTCTACTTGAATTTCTTGGGAATATCAAACTCTCTAGTTGCAACTACCATATTGGCTGTTGATGTTCTTATTTCTGCTATTTTCTGTACCACTTTCTATCCAATCAGTGATGCGATCACCATATCAACAACAAATTATTAATATATTTTCAGTCAAAAATGCAGGTGTCAATCAGGAAATCAAAAGGGCCGGTCCTGACAAAGATAAAAAGTTGAACATCATGCGTGGATTTTTCTTTTGGTTAGAGGTGAAGGCTATTTCCCTACCATATATTGACTTCAATGAATGTTCCTTTCTTGTCTGTGTTTAACGTGCTCCTTGCAGTGACCATGCATGTGAATCTCCTCTCACTCATTCCAGAATGAAAACCACAGTATAAAATACACTTTTCCCACCAATCCACTTGCTTATCTTCAGATTCCTCAAACCAATGGCTGCTATTGTCCTATCAGTCATTTGCCTCTAAATTATGAAAGTACTGCATTTTGACCTCAAAAAAAACATGGGACACTAGTTGGCTTGCTCAAATGTACTTTTCTGTCTCCAAATTTTCAAGGATCAGCAAGGATGACAGATCTAAATTCTACGTCCATGTATCTTATTGTCAAAATTCTGATGTATAAATGAGGTTTGAACCAATGGAATTTCAGTAGTTACAAAGATTGACCAACAGAATGAGAACAAGGACCAACGGATAATTACTGCCTTTCATCTCAAATAAAAGCATGAATTTTTTCATTCACCATTATCTTTCTCATAGTGCTTGATCTGCAGAAGCTAGTGGCTTATACTAAAAGTATATTTTGTTTCAATATCTCCAGCATCTAACTCAGCAAGATGCATTCCAGCCTTGGGAGGATGCAGAATGTCTCCAGACGCTGCCTGGATCTCCTTAGAAGCTGTTACTTTTTCCCATTCCCGAATGTCAATGTGTGCCATAAAAACAAGCAATGGAAGAAAACCAACAACAATTATTATGCCGCAGTCCCAAATAAGTTAGGGTCAGCTATATGAATCCTCATTGACCATGTTTCCTTATTTAAGCTCAACTCATGTCATATCATTGTACCGTTAGTAGAAGAAACCCAAAGATTAATATTTCAATTACTGGTAGATAACATTTGTATTGTGTATGATCCATTTGGGAAAAGTTTTCAAGACAGACAGAGAAGGTGAAAGTTTCTTATACATTGTTACAACTGCATTTTTTGCTACTCATTATTTCAATATAGTCAACATTGTTACCTGAATTTACTGGTTTACATCTTCCATTTGTCCATTGTAATTGAACCCAACTCTTGGTTTCCCCATACTGAAGTTAAGAACTCTTGCATTCATGTTGTATTGGATTTCTCCAGTATAGAGAAGTTTTCTTATGTAGTGCTCTATGTCTGAACCTATCAGACGAAGTGTGTACTCCGTCAATGGAGCTCCCTGGTCCAGGTAAAAAATATTGGAGTTAGCATCTCTATTTCTAATCCATTTGGTACAAGAGTGATTACATAATTAAGCTTGTATTGAAGAGAAGTTTTCATTACCTCATAATGATCAACAAGTTCTTGGAAGTAAGAATAGACTTTGGTACAAGTATCATCAGTCCACACAAATTCATCAGTAGGGTCAAGAAGAAGTGTGAGTTTATCCATTTGTGTTTGATCGAAAGCAAAGGTTTCAGGATCAATATAAGCTGCATATATTCTAACATGTCTAGTAGCACTACTGAGCCATTGTCCTCCATGTTCTCTGGTCATGTTCTTGCTCTGCACATTTATTTGTGGTTCTACTGGCCTTGGCTTCTTCATTGCTTCTCCTTCTTGCTTTTCTTCTTCTTTCTTTTCTTCTTCTTTTTCTACTTTTAGCTCTTCAACTTCTGCTTGCTGTGCTGAAACTGAGAAAAAGTTTCTCCTTTTGAGTTGCTTATTCTTTCCCTTTGTGCTCCAACTTAACATGCTGAAATGGGTTGAAGCCGTGTATGTTGAAGTTGCTGCCATGTTTCCCCCTTTCTTTTGGCTCCTTTTTTTTCCTAGTGGTTTGTTATGTGTGATTTTTATGGCCTTTTCTTGAATGTTGATATTTTAATTTGAAGTTGGTATTGGGATATTGATATATCCTCCTTTTTGTGTGGATAGGAAATGTTTGTTTGCATATGGCTTCTTTTTGTTTATCTTATATTTTTTGTTCTGTGGCTGTGTTTAATAAAGGTTCATTACAAATTACTCTCACGTTGAGGTACTTAAATTACTTCGTTCTTAACCCTGTTAAACCAGGTTTAAAGGTTTGGTTAGTGAGTAAGATAAAAGCTAATTAGTGAATCCGATCCATGAAAGATAAGTATACAGGGCGTTTCACTTATATAGACAATACCAACAAATTGAAGTTCAGAAGTTTGTATGGTGGTGGAGATATATAGATTATCCTTAATATTATTGAGGAACATATTTGTCTTAAAAGAGATTACTCTGAGCATAAAAATGAGATGTATCCAGTGAAAAAATACTCTCAAGAACACATTTTGTTGGCATATTCTTCTTAGTTCTTACAACCTGTTTAGAAAAGTTCATTTTTGAGCCAGGATCTATTAGAAACAATCTTTTTATCTGTGTATTCATCACTGCCAAAAAAAGAATGCTTACCTGTCAAAAGTAAAATAAACATAATTCCAGCTGATTGAATCAACAGGTTCGTTATCACCTTGATAAAGACTCGATAAGAGTTCAGATTGACTTGAAAATTGTCAAGACTGAAAGGTTAAAGAACTGAAGTGAAACAGCTTCCAATAAAGACTTGTATAGAGGGGATGAAATTTTCATTTCCTTTAATTCTCACTATAACAACAGTTCTCTTGTTCTATCTCACACAACAGATTTTGTGAAACAAAAAATATGCCTAATCCTAAGACCTATACCTAAGTAATTAACTAAAAGCCTAAAGATAAAAAGAAAAAAAAATTGCTCTGCACTAGCAGAAGACTACATAAACCTAATTACACAACCTCATTTACAATGGTGAGGCTACTCTGATACATAGCTTGTGGTCATATCACTTGGGCTATCTATATAGGGAGATGAACCTACAGACCTATTCCTATTTATCAGACGCATGGGTTTAATAAGCTCATCGAGATCATCCAGTTGCATCTCTGCGGGACCACTCTCGCAAAGTGGCTTTTCCTCACTTCTCTGATCAATAGTATGTTCCTCTTCGTCGCTACCATCTAGGCCAATAAAATCGACAAACTTCCCTTCAAGGAATATGTCATTATTCCCCTTGACAGAAGGCTTCTCTGATCCAGCTGTTATGCACTCAGTAATATCAATGTGCGGAGAGCCAAAGTAACGACCTCGACCATTCTTTAATTCGCTCAAAGCTTTCCTTTTCACTCCCTTCCTTCTGTTTTTCGGATGGTGAAGCTTGCATTTTGAACCTTTGGGACAGTTGCCAGTTGCTTCAAAAACGGGGCAGACATAGGTGTGTTTCTTCTGACACTGCATGTTTAGAAATATGATCCATTTCACAAGTTTCAAGATTAGTGTGTTGTGTGTTTGTGATGATCTACATCTATTGTACAGAACATACAAAAATAATACTGAATAGTTGCATTCAGACAAAGAGGTGACATAATAAGTAAAAATACTTGGCAATATCACCGGTCAAAAATATAGCTATATCAAGGAAGTCATTTCAAAAACAAAAAATGACAAACAAGAAGAGGTAAGGGTCCCCACTAGTTCATTCATGGGGAGGTGCGGAGACTAGCCTCATCAGTTCTAACAAGTTTGGGGTAGGGACAAGCTTGTCCAGGAACCAAGAACCAGGAATCAACCAAACATAAAATTGGGTGAACAAACTAAACTGCAGAAGACCTTTGCTGATCATCCAAACACAGCTTTTAACTAAAAACTATTTCTACTTGGCACCATCTGGCATAAATTAGTTGTGAGCTATTAAAGAGCTTATCTAATTGGAATTTCAATCTTTTGAGTATCATATAGTTGGTATTGATTAATCTGGAAGCAGAAAACAAACAAAAAATACCTCATTGCCATCAGCACAATAGCCCCTGAGAAAACCTTCACAGATAGAAGCATTTGGATTCACATTTACATGTCTATAAGGACAATTCTCATTTGCGCATATTCCTGCCGAAAAGATTCAAGTTAGTGCTCTAACATCCTCTTGGTCGAATTGAATCAAAATATACTAACGGTAACACCTACAGATATAACAACACCCACCTTGCAGAAAATAGGAGCAGTCTTGCATTCTTTCAGGAATAACCTAATACATAAGGTGAAAACAAGTAAAAAGGCAAAAACTATTCATGCTGCAGCTACATCATTTATAGGGTTTAAGAAGTAACATACCTCGTGAGTCAATTTACAGTTTGTATCAGAGCAAGAACCATTCAGAAATTTAGAGCAGACGGCAATTTTAGATGGATCATGAATGTAAGGACATTTTCCATTATCCTTGTTACACTTGCCAAACCTTGTAAAAAACTGGCAATACTGTTTCTTTCTTGCCAACCGAATTCTAGCAGTGTGCAAACTCCAGCGTACTTTCTCACTTGCTAAGATGCGAACTCGTCTCTTTGGATTTCTAACCAGCTTATTACCATTGCCAACCCGTACATACCTACAAGCAGTTACAAGCTTTTATATTATATTATTCTTTTTATAAGGCAAAGTTTTATTCACGAGAATTAATTATATTTATCTTATTTCATTCATCTCTTGGAAGCAAGACAGTACTTTTTTACTTCTTTCATATTGACCACCTTTTTGGAATACCTACTATTTTTCAAGACTATGAAATCCAATAGAAAAGATTGAGATATAAGCAACAACTTAGTACCAAGAATTCATCTCTTGGAAGCAAGACAGTACTTTTTTTAGTTCTTTCATATTGGCCACCTTTTTGGAATACCTATTACTTTTCAAGACTATGAAATCCAATAGAAAAGATTGAGATATAAGCAACATCTTAAGTACCAAGAACTATGAACTGCTCATGCTTCCTGAAAGTTAAGGGATTTTGAGAAAAAGTTATGTAGTATGTGGGGATTTCAACATCACCAGGTATCCAGAGGAGAGAACCAACTACCAAAGAATCAATGGGGAAATGACCGAGTTTTCAGAATGGATCAATGACATGGAGTTTGTAGACCCTCCTTTATTTGGAGGGTCTTACACTTGGAGAAGGAGTGAAAATCATGAGAGTGCTTCCAGAATAGATAGATTCCTCTACTCTTCACAGTGGGAGGAACAATATCAACACATCAAACAATCAGTGATGCCAAAACTGGGATCAGACCACAACCCCATCATGCTTACATGTGGAGATATGGATTTCAAGAAGTCATATTTTAAGTTTGAACAATGGTGGTTGGGAGCGGATGGGTTCAAAGAGAGGGTAAAAGAATGGTGGGCCTCTTTCAATGTATCTGGGAGCCCAGCATACATCTTGACTACCAAACTAAAACTCCTAAAAGGGAAATTAAAAGAATGGGGGAAGGAAAACAAGAATAACTGGATACAAAGGAGGGAGGACATCCTGAACCAAATTACTGGATTAGAAAATATCATGGAGCAAAGAGCACTCACAGTTGATGAATTACTCCAGAAGGTTCATTTGGCAATGGAGTTTGAGGAGGTGATCAAGAATGAGGAGATAGCATGGAGACAGAGGTCTAGAATCCAATGGTTGAAAAATGGAGATAAGAACACCAAATATTTTCACATAATGGCCACAACACATAAGAGATGCAACACCATTGACAAAATTGAAGAGGAAGGGACGTATATCACTGATCCAGAAGTTATCAAGATTAAAATACAAGACTACTATCAGAATCTCTACAAAGAGACAGAGACATGGAGACCTAATCTAAACTTACAAGATTTCACAAGCATTAACTTGGAGGAACAGATCTGGCTGCAGAGACAGTTTGAGGAGGAAGAAGTCTTAAAAGGCATCAATCTTTGTGCTAGTGACAAGGCACCAGGACCTGATGGATTTCCAATGAGCTTCTTCAAAGAATTTTGGAGCGTCTTGAAAGAAGATATCTTAAACACTATGAAGCATTTCCATGAGTTCCAAGTTTTTGAAAAGAGTATGAATGCCACTTATGTGGCACTTATCCCAAAGAAGAGTGGAGCTACATCACCAAGGGACTTCAGACCAATAAGTCTAATTAGTGGGATGTACAAAATCATAGCTAAAGTGTTGGCTGAAAGGCTCAAACAGGTGGTAAACAAGCTGGTGAACAAGCACCAGATGGCATTTATTAAGGGCAGACAAATCATGGATGCTGCATTAATAGACAGTGAATGTGTGGACACAAGAGTAAGAGGAGAGAAAGCAGGCATCATGTGCAAACTTGATTTGGAAAAAGCATATGACCATGTAAATTGGGGGTTCCTTCTAAACATCTTAAGACAGATGGGGTTTGGACATAAATGGTTAAAATGGATAGGTTTTTGTATTAAAACTGTCAGGTTCTCCATTCACCTGGTGGGTTTTTTTTCATCTGAAAGGGGCTTGAGACAGGGTGATCCTCTCTCCCCTTTCCTTTTCATACTGGTCATGGAGGGGCTGAATAGCATGCTGAGGATAGCTACTCAAAGCAGATGGATAAGGGGATTTGAAGTTAGTAGCAGGGCAGGTGTGAGTATGGAGATTTGCCAATTGTTGTATGCGGATGACACTGTAATCTTCTGCGAGGCAAAAGAAGACCAGATTAGATATATCAGAGTGATACTTGTGATCCTGGAAACTGTCTCTGGTCTAAGGGTTAACTGGAGGAAAAGCAGTTTATTCCCTATCAAGGAAGTAGCACAGATGCAAAGATTGGCTAACATCCTAGGGTGCAAGATTGAGCAATTCCCAACAACTTACTTGGGAATGCCTCTGGGAAGCAATCATAAAGAACTACTGATATGGGATGGGATAATCCAGAGGTCAGAGAAGAAGTTAGCCATATGGAAATCTCAATACTTGTCACTCGGGGGCCGACAAACACTAATAAATGCAGTGCTAGACTCCCTCCCCACTTATGTCATGTCTCTATTTCCCTTACCTGCTAAGGTGCTAGAGAAATTGGACAAACTTAGAAGAGATTTTCTTTGGTTTGGAAACAAAGAAAGAAAGGGGTACTATCTAGTTAACTGGGAAACAGTGCAGCTACCTAAGCTCTCAGGTGGTCTTGGAGTTAGGAATCTTCAAATCCATAATGAGTGCCTCTTGACGAAGTGGCTGTGGAGATATGCGGAAGAAGAACATGCTCTTTGGAGAGAAGTTATACATCACAAGTATGGCCAGGACTCCCAATGGTGTACCAATGAGGTCACTATACCATATGGAGTTTCAACATGGAAAACAATAAGATCCTTCTGGACCAAACTAGCAAGAAACATCAAACTCAGAATAGGAAATGGAGCTAAAATACTATTCTGGAACGATGTTTGGGTAAGACATGAGGCATTAATGCAATCTTTCCCCGACTTATTTTCTTTCTGTACAATCCAGATATCATTCTAGCTGAGAGTTGGGGAAATGGTTGGGATATATCTTTCAGGAGACATTTCAATGACTGGGAAATAGATAGGGTGGCACAATTGTTACATGCAATCAATGAGTTTAATGGTTTTGTTGCAATGCCAGACACAATCTCGTGGGTACACTCTGAGGATGGAAGATTCACAGTTAACAAGCTCTATAAGAAGGAAATGGGAACTCAACAAGGTCTCAGATTGGCTAGATGGAAATATGTATGGATAAGCCAAGCACCAACCAAGATCAAATGTTTTGTATGGTTGGTAGCTAAGAGGGCTTGTCTGACACAGGAGGTACTGCAAAGGAAAGTAGTACCAAGGTGTTTTCTATGCAATGAGACAAATGAGACCAACAGCCATCTTTTTCTACACTGTAGAGTCACAGGTCAACTATGGTCTCTGTTTTTGAGGCTCACTGGTAACAGCTGGACGATGCCAGAACATAATGCTGACCTGTTGAGTTGCTGGATCAGGAGAGGAGGCAGTAAAAGCCAAAAAAAATGGTGGAGAATTATTCCAGCTTGCATATGGTGGTCAGTATGGAAGGAAAGAAATGGAAGATGCTATGAGAACAAATCAAACTCCATACAGAAAGTCAAAGAAAATTGCATTCCATATTTGTATTTTTGGTGTAAACAGGAATGTATAGAGGAGGTAGAGCAACTAGTAGATATGTTAGGATCTTTGTAATTAGCCTTCCTAGCCCCTCTATGTACGAATTTTTGGAGGTCACCAGCATAGCCTTAATGCTGAGGAATACAACATTACTAATTTCAAAAAAAAAAAAAGTTATGTAAATGAATATCACAATTCACAGTTAAAGCCACAACCCAATACAAACTTAATGCCTGAAGATAAACCAGCACTAGGTACATCATTGATAATGAACTGAAAACAAAAGTATTATACGTACTCATCGTTCCCAATCAATAATCTTTTCGGTATGTAAGATTTCTTTGCCTCTGGAACTGACACCGATGGTTCCTCATCTGTCCATAAACAATGGAGAATTACAAAGTCAAGCAGCAAATAATGTCAAGTGACAGTTGCAAGAAATAAATCAAAAACTTCACCGAAACCACTCTTAGAAATAAAAGAAAAGAGGCACCCCACCCCCACCTCCACAAGATATAAAGAACAAGACAAAGCTAGTATGTTTGAGCTCAAGTCTGCCTGATTTCAAAGAATGATTGATCAAGATAAAGATGGAAAGTACTTACTCAGGCTCCAAAACCCAAAAAAAAAATTAACAAATTAAAGGGAAAATGTCAATTCAAAATAGAAAGCAAGGGCATTAAGAAACAGGTAGGCCCTCAAGTGAAAAACGCTAAGAATCAATTTGCAACTTAGGTTCCAATAAACATGCAAATACAACAAACTTCTCATAATTATTACTCCCTCCGTCCCATTTTATGTGAGGTAGTTTGACTCGGCATGGAGTTTAAGAAAGAAAGGAATACTTTTAAAACTTGTGGTCCAAAATGAATGATAAAAATTTGTATGGCTGTAAATAATTTCATTAAAGGTAAAATAGACATTAGACATTTTATAGTTAAATTATTACTATAGAAATGTGTCATTCTTTTGGGACTGATTAAAAAGGAAAGTAAGTCACACAAATTGGGACAGAGGGAGTAAATTTTACTTTGATAAAGGAACTTCTCGAAATGTTGACTTCCATGACCATATTAGAAAAAAGACCTAAAAGACTTGGTTCTATCAAAAAGCCAGCAACCCTTTCAGCGTCTCCACTGAAAGAGGAGTGCCTGCTCCATCCATGAAAGCATTCAATTGAGAGAATTTTTCTGGTTGAAAGAAGTTGAGCACTGATAAAAAGAATACCATTGAATTAATAAGAATGACACATTTCCTCTTTTAAAAAACCTTACTGTTTTGACAATAAGAAAAAGGATCTTACTATTGAGATCGGTGTCCAAGCTGGCATTATCAAAGCTACTAACTAATGTTTAAAAAGCACTGCCTTTAAGAAAATTTGGACTATTAAACTGGATTTGGTTTCAGAACTATCAGAGTCTGCCATAAGAAACCAGGTTCTCTAGTAGACTAAAATCCAACTAGGAGCCGTGACTAAATGGATACATTTTAGCAACTTTTAAGTTCTTCAACAACTATCTCCAAAACATGAATATCTACTTTGTAGCATGTACTTCTCCTTTCAAACTTCATTGCAGGGGCATATTTGTAGTGGATTAAACAAAGGAACTTCACAGATCCTACCAATCAAAAATGGAACTTCACAGATTCTCTATATGGGTGGTGATGGCACAAAGAAATTAGACTTTTATAGCAAAAGCAGATGCAGTAAGGTTGGATCCACTTATATTGAAGTTCCAGCATATTGATTCTTGAATCAAGTAACCAACATTATTTAGTTTCACTCTTGAAGGGCACAATGAAACTAAAGGGCATGCAAGAGATGCATAACAGAGGCTGTAAAAAACTGAAACCTGCAATCTTATGTACTCTAGAAACTGAGAAGCACATGACTATGCCAACTGGCCTTTGTGCTATTTAGTTATCAGAAAAGATGGTTTTAGGGAGAAATGAGTCATGTCGATCAATTTATGCATTTCCATTGTTTAAACTCTCAATATTTATAAATCAAACCCATAGTTATTTTCCAATCCAAAGAGGCTTAAAACAAAGACTCTCGTCTCCCTTCACATTTCTATTAGCAACGGAACTTTGGCATTTACCCTGGTGAAACTAACCATTCAATGGTCACATATTATGTGGTAATGAAGCACAAGCAAAGCAAATAAAGGTGTTGCAAATTGTTTTTGAGGAGGCTGCTTCTTGGCTGCATGCAACTTATCTAAGAACAGTTTGTTTTTCTACTTCTTTTTTTATTGGTTATCTAAGAGCAGTTAGTTCCTTGTAGAGAATATACAGATATTGATCAACATATTCGACTAAAAGGTGGAATACTTCTCCACTGCCTGCCCTAGTTTGCCATGAGATGGTGACAGAACTGGACAGCGTCAATTTGGCAGGGGTGATTGTGAAGTGTACGTGAAAGTGCAATATCTTTCCATGGAAGGGATCACTTTGATTAATAATATACTGTGACCCTACATTCCAAGTGTGCCAGTGCAGTGAAGAAATTCGATAAGCCGTGAACGGATTTCAGGTGGCATGGGAATGGTGAAAGAAGAAAGAATTCATATGGTCAAATGGACAACTGTCGCAGCACCTAAAAATGCAGAGGTATGGGAGTGAAAAACGTGCAAATACAAAATAACATAAGAGGAAAATTATTCCCTTCAAATAAACATGAGGGGCAAAGGGATTGATCAAGAAAGCTGTTTCGCCTAGCAGTACGACGCTTGTACTGATCTGCCACCAACCAGACGTTGTCTAACCAAATTCAATTCTCTCAATACTTCCTCAAAAAAAAACAAGTAAGGAGAGCCACAATTTAGTCCTGCAAGCAGCTCTAGAATGTCAGTTGCACTCATAAGAACACCCCCTGTTTTTTTCCTTTCCTCGTAAGCCTCTGCTATTTCCACTAAATGAGCCAGCCAACATCTTCAATGGCAGCTGAATTCAGAGAATGATCGGGAAGAGTTGTCAAAGGAGGTCATCAAAACTAGGTAAGAAATGGAGGGATTTTGGTCCACCAATGGAGTAACCACTTCATATGAGATTGCACTTTGGAAATATAGAAGGAAGCCCTGAGGCAAATAAAGCTAACTCAGTTTTCTTTCAGTGTGGCAAGACAAATGGAGTGAAGTGTAGTCCCTAACACTAAAGTTTAAGACCTATACACTATGCAACTGGCTGTAGAGTGCAGACTGGACGATTGATGAAAAATTAATTTCAGAAGTACCCTCTCTTACTGGGAAATCAGCACGGTGCAATTCATGTGCAGAAACAAGGAAATAAAAAAACTGGAGAAAAGTCCTGATCTATGGTTGAAAATGATGCAAAAATGGTGCGTTCTCAGTCAAGTCCTGTGAGATAGAGTGGAGATGGCCAATTACAGTGCAATGATCCACTAAGACCATGTGATCCAACCAACATTTGAAGAGAGAAACATTTAACAGAGCCACAAAACGCAGGAACTCAGGAAGGTACAAAAGTTCCCACATAAATATGAACAGCGAGATTTCAGCTCCATAAGTCAAAATTAAGTCCTTCTCATTGCTTTGACTATCACAAACAAAATTGAAGCATTCTCTAAAATGATATTGCAGGTACCAAACACAAATATGATAACTTAAAGGAACTTACATTCTCATAGCAAACACTTTGTAAGGCAAAAGTGGCAATTAAGCATCATAATGAAAAGGTTAAAAGAAAAAAAATGTAAGGTGGAAGGAGGAAAAAAAGAATCAGCAAAAAAGGAGCAGACCACCTGAAATTCTTTGTAGTGTCTTCCCAGAAGAGTCCATCTTATACCGCTCACAACCAATGCGGAATATCCTTTCTCCTGTATAAAGTTAGAAGACCATCATAGTGCTCAATTAAAAGAGAGTACAACATTTGGAAAATGTACATAAAAAGGACATAGCTTTTGTGGTAATTATTAAAAGGACAAAGCTGATACATTGACATCCAATTACATTGTACAATATTTTTGAGAAACTTGGAAAAAATGAATATGCCACACCAGGGTAGAGAACTGGCCTACCTGGGAGCAGCTTTACACTATAAAACTTACGAGAAACATTATTTCCATTCATTGAGTCAGCATTAAAACCATATTGTCCCCTTTTCCTTTTGTCAACAGCAGCAACTGCTAGCGCAGCTTCCTGCAAAAAAGCCTTCACTTAACAACTCAATTCCTACATCTACTCGCAAATTTTACAACCCCAAAATAAACCTGAGTGCAGCTGGACAAACCTCAGTAGCCTTCTTTGACCTTTGCTCAATAGATTTTGACCACTTTAGACTAGAGCCAGAGACACTTAACACCTTAGATCTTCGTAAAGAGAGTCCATGAATTGACCTTGTGTAGATTGTCTCCCGCTTTTTTGAGAGCAGTAACTTCCGTCTAAAAGAAAATATACTTGAGGAATAATGTTTGACACCAAAAGAAATGAACGAGCCTGAAATGATTCCTCACCTGATAATAGAGGAATTGTCACTTGGAGAGGAACTCAGGAAACTCCTCCGATAGCTAGCTCTTTTCCATGGAAATAAGTAAGGCCAAAGTTTCTCATACTCTACAGTGCCGCCATATTTCCTTGATGACTGAGTATCACCTAATTTCCAGACCGATGAGAACTTTGACAATTTAGAGGTCTTGGCTAAACCTGCAAAAAGTACTTTAGTTAAACCTTGTCTGATTAGTGATAATATTGGCATTAACTTTAAAAAAGATGGTGTTCTAGGGAAAAACAAGTATATAATATTTGAATAAAAAAGCATTAACCCTTCGTGAAGTAATTTTGGTTTAATTAAACACTCTCTGACAAAAATTGTGCCGGGGTCTATCAGAAACAAGCCTCTCTGCCCCCGTAAAGGTAAGGTAGGGGTAAGGTCTGCGTACAACCTACCCTCCTCAGACCACACAAGTGGGATTACACTGGGTATGTTGGTGTACTCTCTGACAAGAATAAGTAATACTAATTCCAATCATCAGTTCCGCCAATTCTATCCCCTAACATGCTGTTAGGCAGTAGACAAAGTTCTGCAAGGATTATAATGAATGATTTTGTAATATTGGAACTAATAAATCCTTGAAGTGCATATACTTAATTTTTGACAAATGGTTGGTTCATTTCATTGAAAGAATGGAAGATACACGTAACGGAAAACATATGTTTGGTTAAGTTGGATAAAGATTTGTTTGCAGTTTACTTCAACTTTTGAAGTAAATAAGAAAAAAGAAAGATATATTAGGTACTCTATCCAAGGATTGCTAATCCCGGTATTAACTTTCATGCCGAATCCGGTACAGAATGAACTATGGCATAAAAAATTTTAATATTGCTTATACTGGAAATAGAAGTCCTACCAAACACGGGATAAAATGATTTCAAATATTTTCAAGTACCCATATTCAAAACCTAAAATGAAGACCATGTAGAACCTATGATTGTCATCTCATTGCAATTGACTCTTTCTTCATTAACTTGTGAAGTCCAATGTTTTGCCAAAATACAAACTAACCCAAAAAATAATGTTCCATGAAGCTGTTGGGAATTTCACACTACCCTCTCCTCCACCCATGTGAAACAGCTACATCCTGTCACAGGTCTCTCCACAGTATGCACAACAAAACTTTTGAGCTCGAGGAACTAATAAATTTTTCAGCTGTCATTAGGAAATGTCCTTGTAGAACCATAGATTAGTGGAGTATCTTTTACCAAGTAAAGCTGGTTTTTGTTTCCATGTGTTGATAGAAATGCCGCAAAAAGACACTTTGAAGTGAAATAAAGGAGAACAATTCCTTGATCAAAATAAATATATATACAAAAAAGCATGATATCAAATATTTCAAACTGACAAAACAGATCAATCAATCAACTAGACTTTCAGCTATATGACTTCTTTATATAAATTTTCACTCTATTCAGGTCTATTTCAGTCCTATACAAAACATCAACTAAACATTGATTGAATTCACGAACGTTGCTTGGACTTAATCATGGTTTGTTTAGTAACTTACTCTTACCTCGGAATCCAGTTTTTCAATTCAAATTCTTTGAAAATCTAACCAATGCTAAATTAATATAATTGCCATACTGCATAGGCTTAATTATGATTTAGTCAACAAAAAGTTTATAACATGAAAGCTGAGCAAAAGCAATCAGTTGAAGCAGAAGTCAGATCATGCAAATACCAACAGCACCAAATATGATGAGTTGTAAAAGTATATCCTTACCATTCAGCCTTTTCGTACCTCTTTGGAAAGGAACTATATTCTTTGTCATGACAATTCTTTGCTTCATATGATTATTGCCAGATGCACGAATCAGTTGATTCTTTCTCCTCTTATAGTAGCCATTGGATGAAGTCTGGGTCTTATCTGAAGCTGCAAGTAACTGATTCAATCTTTGCTTCACAAAAACTATATTCTTTTTGGAACTGCCTTCATCTAATGTATTCTGGCTTCCAGAATCACCTCCCAGACCAATTTGACATTCAGGAACTGCAGAAGATGTTGAAGGATGCTCAGAAGGCTTCAGCGCCAAAATATTGTCAGTTACTTCCATAGGATCTGAGTTTGTAGCAATACTACCATTTCCAGGATGATCTACCACTGGTGAAGATGTAGACACCAATGTAATGCAACTAAATGATTCGCTCTGTGTCGGGGTTTTGGGTCTCTCTGAAGGAGCATTTACTTCTGGAGTTCCCCTGCAGCTAGGTGAACCAGTTATCTCAGCCCTGTTCTCACATTTTCTCCTAAGGTCATTCACACCAGAAGAGTTCAACCGGTAAGTTGAAGAACTTGGAGCATGGTATCCTTTGGGAACGGAACCAACAGGAGAAGGATTTCTGACAAGACTGTTACCCTTGCGAATGTAAGAGCCGACTTTCGCAGTGTCCTTAGATAAATGGCTTTGTGGAGGTAGGGCGTTCATTTGGGAACCTCGTCCAACAACAGAGGAAGAGCTATTACCAGTTCTATGCCATGTCAGTGGCTTCTTCGGAACGGGCACATTCCTTAGAGTGATAAAACTCGATGGGCGAACAGATAAAACCCTAGAGCCAGCAGGACTTTGCTGGTTTGCACCTACATTTGGTTTCCGACCCTGTGAACTCACATTCTTGGAGGACTTTACTGTGTTCTGTGATGATAATGCCACAGTACTGACATTAACCAGAGGATCGCCACCAACTTTATGATCTGAACTTCTACCAAACTCAAAAGCATCTGACGATGTCTTCACTGAAGAAGAAATATTGTCATAAGCTGTTATGGAATTTTCATCAACTCTTAGGGCTTTTTCAATAACAATTTCACTGGACATTGATGACTTATCAATAGGTTCCTCAGAGACTGAGCTATTAGTTAAGTCAGGAAATGACACCAGCGGTGACATATCCAGCACAGATTCCATACTTTTGACACTTACTTTGTTGGCAAATAAAGAGAGATTATCTGCCAATAAAGGCATGTCATCCCTGTCAAGCACATAATTACAGCTTTCATGACCTTCTGGGGCCAACTTTTGGTCCATTCCAACAGAGGAACCTTTGTCATCACTTACTCTATCAGCCATTCTTAGCATCTCAATGGACACAACTGAAGTTGTAGTTTCTTGTCCCACTGCTCCCAATTGAGAATTGTGAGGAATGACTTGCTGAACATCTGAAAAGTGATCCATCAAGCCATCTTCAAATGGCTCAGCCTGACATACACCCTTGGCAGTACTGCTGCTCTCAAGCACATTGACTGATGGACGAGCTAGTGGACTATCATCTACATTGGTCAATGTATTTCGAGATTCTAACTCTGTCACGGAAACATCATTGATCATAGGCACTGTAATTGGCCTGCTAGAAGGTTCCTCATAGGTGGTAACACAGGGTACAGATTTAACCTTAGCTGGCGAAGAAACTTCACTTTTCTTGGGACTCTTGGTAGAACATGAATCGGAATCATCTTTAAAACAATCCTGAAGTGACAGCTCCACTTCTGAAGGCCCCCCATGTGAGTGATCCCCCTTTAGTGAGTCGGTCCCATTACCAGAAACTGTACCATCCTCTTCTTCAGAGGCATGATCTTCTCTAAAACAACTGAAATTATTACCTTGGCCTAGCAAATAACTAACCACATTTTCCCCTGTCTTACTCATCTTCGTAGTGGACAAAACAGACTCATCATCCATAATCTTCCTCTTCCTGGTGACCTTAGGTAAACAGTCATCATCCACAATAATCCTAACATCATCTCCAACAGAAACCACTGCATTGATAGATCCTTTAGTATGTCTCATCTCAGGTGACAATGTGACTCCATCAACACATGATTCAAAACTACCGCCAAAAGTACCAGCCCTTGGATCACTATTACTCAAACACTCTGCAGTTTGCAAGTCATTGACAACCGCAATTCTCCCAGTCTCATCAGAATTAGAACTACTGTCATTTCCATTCAAGAAACTCTCTCGGAGTCCTTTCTCAATATTAGTCAACAGAGGTACAATGTTGGGGTCACTGGATGGCTCCACAGAACCTGCTCCAAAGGATCCTATAGCAGCAACTGCATTCTTCTTCCCATCAGAAAACCCCAACCCAGAATCAGCAGAGATATATGTATCTTCAGTTGACGAAGACACTTCATCTTTGTGAATTTCTCTCCCATCGCCATTTCTTTCTTCACAAGCCATGGACTCAGAAGATTCTTTAATAGGACCATATTCGGACACTCGGAGCTCATCCTCAGAATTCCCTCCAACATGACCAGTATTATCCGCATCAGAACTAGTAGGTTTGTTTTGTACTTCAATCATACATGTCTCAAAATTCATCGTGGAAGGGACACTCTGAACTGATCTGCTGGTATAATCAGCAACGCCATTAATTTCAGAGTCCACGCTTGAAGAAACCAAGACTTTAGCTGGACTAGCTTTCTTCCCATCAGATTTAGACTGCTCTACAGACTCATCTTTACTAACAGCAGACAGTTTAGAAGGTTTTTCTAGTTTGCTAACTACTTCATCTGAAGGCAATTTCACATTGATAGGGTTTATGACTTTCTTCTTAGTCACTTTCTTCTTTCTAACTATGAAGAAAGGTATTCTAAACTTCTCAACATGATTACTACCCTGATTCAAAACCTTGATCTCTGCAGATTCCTTGCTTTCTTTGATTCCAGTTAAATCATTTGTCACAGTGGAACTCAGCAACGAAGTGCTGTTAGATGGACTACTAGCAACAGAAACTGTATCTTCATCAGGCAAAAGTTTTGACTCGTTGTTATTCAAGGTACCATTAGATGTGCGTCCATCAACAGAATCTGTAATTTTAGCTGCCAAGTGTCTTGAATCCTTGTAAGAACCCAAAGTGCACTTAGATGAACTTCCAACTGCAGAAACCGTAATTTTATCTGCCAAACAATTGAACTCCTGGTTAGAACTTGGTCGGCAACCAGAATCATTTGCTGAACCATTACCCTTTCCCAAATCGTCCCCAATTCTCTTTGTTGGAGAACCAGAGAAATTCACTTTTCTAATCTTCTTACATCTAGGTGCTTCACTTCTGTCTGAGTCAATGGCGGAGCTTGACGGGGTCATAATGGCCTTTGCTACAAGTGCATTAGATTTAAATGAAACATCAAGCTCCATCTGACTTCCCTCTCTTTCCTCAACCCTTCTCTCCAACCTCTCAAACACATCTTTCTGCTTTCCCCTTACCGCACCAGAACTCAAGTCATGGTCCTGATTTCTACTCCTGTTGTTAGCTTTCCCACATTGAATCCTGAGTAATGCACTCTTCTTCTGCACTTGCTTCTTCTGCGGAGACCTATGAATTTCCTCCTTGTCCACTCTTAACCTATTGCTAAACCTAACATCACCGTAATCATTACCATTATCCAAGGAAGACACTCGCCTAGAAGAAGAACCAACTGGAACCTCATCAACATTACCACCATATTCCCATCTCTCATCTTCATATCTATCATCACGCAACTCATAATTCCCCGGACTCGGTCTAAAATCCCTCGATGGGTTTGTATCAATATCCATTCTACGCCTCTCAAGACGGTACCTTTCATCATCATCATACTTGCTATTCACATCTCTCCTAACCCTAAGAGGCTCTTGACTATCGTTTACAGAGCTAGCACGATTCTCTCTCAACCCACTTGAGGTAAAATCATTCACAGTAAACCTCGGTGGAGGAGGAGGAGGAGGGTTATGGTAATGGTCGTTATAATGAAAACTTGAGGGATGCGGGTGAGGGGGCTGGTATGGAGGTTGATTTAGGGTTATATTAGAGGAAACCCTAAGGGGAGAGCGATTTTGGTGATAATCGTATCGAGGGTTTTCTGAATGACGAGAAGGAAAGGAGAACTGGGATTTGTGGTGGAAGGGAGGGGATGGGGAAGGAGGAAGAGGGGGGTGAGAGATATGGCGCTGAGGTGGTGGTGGAGGGAGATTGGAGAGTGGTGGTGGTGGTGGAAGCCGTTGCTGTGGCGGCTGCGGCGGCGGAGGAAGGTGGTGGAAGAAATTAGGGTTATGGGAAAAGTTTGGAGGAGGTGGAACGTACCTGTGGTGATGGTGACGGTGGTGCTGGTGGTGATAGGGAGGAAGATCCATGGAGACCGTGAGGTCTTACCGGAGAAGAACGGACCTGCGGCAGCGGCAGTGGGAGCGGCAGCGGCGACAGCAGCCTTTGTTTGAATTTTTGACAAACGTTTGGTCGCATGAGAAGTTGAGAACCACAAAAATTAATCAGTTTGACATTTTAGAGTAAAGTTACCTTGTCTAAACTGGATATTCTTTTCTTTCCCGCCCAAGTGGGAATTCTTTTTTTTTTTTGACCAACTGGGGGTAATTATGGCTATTTTTTTTATGTGTGTCCATATTATATAAATACTAATATATTAATTGTATATATTAATGCAGATTATTTTTTACAACATTCTGGATCTTTTTTACAAAGAAAAACTTTGTTTTCCTTTTAAGTGTCTAAACATTGTTGTTTCTCAATTTTTCTTTTATGTTTTCATCCAAATTATCAATCATCCAAAACTTCAAGATTCTAACTAATAGTACTTGAAAAAAAATATATATTAAATCTTCAAAAAATAAAAAATAAGATGGAAGGTAAAAGTAGAGAAAGGGAAGTCGAAATGCATTTCGTTGGTAATAAAGGTGATTGGAGGATCATTTTGAGCAATAAGTGATAATTATGTTATTTTAAACTTGAAAATTTGGAATAAGGCTGTCATATGCAAACTCCTCTAGGCAATTGCAACAAAGAAAGATACATTATGGATCCATAATTTCTATATAAAAAATAGAGAATTGAATGGACTCCCAAATCCTCCCAAGCATGTTGGCTAGTGAGAAAAGTTTTTGATGCACGAAAGTGATTGAACAATATAGATGCACTAGGATGGTTGCAGCAACACTGTCATAAGGGCAAATTTAGCATAAAAAAAGCTTACTTGACTCGTACATCACAATATTCTAATGTGCCTTGGAAAAATATCACCATGGGAGCATGTCCAATACCACAACATCAATTCATTATGTTGCTTGCCATTAAGAGGAAACTGTCAACGGTTCACAAGCTAGAGAAGTGGGGAATTCAAGTGGATACTGATTGTGTTCAATGCACCTCAAGAGAAATGGAAACAATTGAGCACCTACTTTTCGAATGCCCATACTCAAAACATATCTGGCAACCCCGTTGTCTTCTCAAATGGATGGGTATAAATAGACAAATCATAAAATGGAATGATGAAATTAACTGGCTAACACAGCAAGTCAAGCACAATAGGGCCAAAGCTGAAATCTTGACATTCTTATTTGCTGCAACAGTATACCATATCTGGAATAAAAGAAAGTGTTGAAGATTCTAAGCAAAAGTAAAAGAAAGCGCCAACAAATTGAAAGAGATAGTTATTCAGCTTCACACTCGAAGCAACCACACCAGCAAATGGATCAACTACTGCATAGCTTAAACAATTATCCTAACTAGGACATATGTATATTGTCTAGTTTTCTTGGGACAGAAGAGATCATTTTTCAAGATCTAGTTCCTAGAGTCCACTGGAACTAGTTATTTGTAAATGATCCACGTTTGATTAAATAGAAGTCCTACATTTGACCCAACAAAAAAAAAACTTAAAAAACTATTTCAACGAATAGTTTGTCTAATTTCTGCACTTCTTTTCTTGTTTTAATATTGACAGTAATATGCAACTTTAAATTGTTATTGACAACTATTTTAAACTAATCTCTTTGTTCAATAATAATTGCCCACTATTGACTTATCACAAGGATTAAAAAAATAGTAAATGATAAAAGTTGATTCTATCAATTCACCATTAATATTTATATTTCATCTAAAACATTGAAAAATAAATAGTGTTTAATAGCAAAAATAAAATAGACACAACATGGTAAATTATTCATTGGTTTTAGAAAACTGGATAAGTATTATTGGACATCCCAAAATAGTATATTAGACAAGTAAAGATAAACGGAGGGAGTAATAATTAAATTTGGCACTTGTCGTTTGAAAAAATTATCAACAAGTATTTGTTATAGTTTAATCTCTCGCCCTTTTCATATCTTTATCAATTTCATCTCAAATTTATTAGCTAACAATCATTCAATGATTTCAATTTCATCCCAAATTTGTTCTCTAACAATCACCCAATTTCAATATAATCAACTATCATTAAATAACATATCGTTAAAATTTTATTTTTGATATATTTTTAATATAAACTTCATATAAATAACAATTGAATTTGTATATCGTTGCACTCAAAATTACTAACAACTTCTTTGATTCAATTTTAGTCACTATAATGAAACTTGGGGGATGTGGGTGAAGGGGTTGTATGAGAAATCTTTGACCGTATGAGAAGTTGGATACCATAAAAACTAATTAGTTTGACATTAGAGTAGAGTAGCTTTGTCTAAAATAGTTATTCTTTTCTTTTCCGCCCAAGAGGGATTTTTTTTTTCTAGACCAAATGGGGGAAATTACGGATATATATTTGTTTACGTGTTTTATGTAATATATCGATATTATATAAATAATAATATAATTGGGTAGGTATGATATATAATTATTTACTAAATGTGTATATATACATATATATTATTTATAAAATATTAACATATTACAATAGTCCATCTTTTTCAATGGGCTATTTTTTTTTAAAGAAAAAGTCTAGTTTTCTAAATAGTACGTATTGTTCACCATTTTCCTTTATGCTTCCCTTTGAATTGTCAATCATAGATTAGCCATTGTAAATCTCAAAGATACTAATTATGTTCTAATTAATAGTACTTGAGAAAAATAAATATAAGCATTTCTTTTTTTTAAAAAAAAAACAACAAAGATGGAAATTGGAAGGTAAAAGTAGTGGCCAAAGAAGAAGGAAAGTCGAAATGCACTTTTTGTTTTAGTTATTAGTAGTAATAAAGGTGACTCGATGGCCGAGTAATAAATGATAATAAGGTTATTTTGAATTTTAAAAATTATTCTAATGAATAGTTTGTTTAATGTCTCCACTTATTTTTTCTTGTTCTTATATCTACATTAATATGCAACTTTAAATAATTATTGGCAAACATTTTAAACTAATAATTGAATTTTGATATTTGTCGTTTAAAAAAATTACCAACCAGTAATCCTTATACTTAATCTCTCATCTTCTTTGTATCTTTATCAATTTCATCCCAAATTTATTCTCTAACAATCACTTAATAACCAATAAAATTAGCTATTATCATTAAATGACATGTCGTTAATTTTTTTGATACATTTTTAACGTAGATATCAATATATATACATATATAAAAATTGTATTTCATTTCACTCAAACTCGTTAATAACTTTTGTGATCCTTACCGTCTCTTTTCCTTCCATGAATGTATCTATATTAATTGATGTCTCAATTTGAAACATTATTAATTATCATATTGAATCGCTACATAGTATAACGATCCGTCAAAGATAAAATATTATTATCAACGTTAAATTTTATGCAACTAATTTTAGAAATATATAAGAATATAGCATGTTTAATCACTTATTATATAACTTATTCTTTTTTTGCCTAAGTCTTTTTTCAATAACCCAAATAAATTGTAAAGTTTTGACAATAATAATATAATTTTTTTATTGCGATAAAGTTGATGAATTATAAATAAAAAACTGATATGTATTAACTTGTAAATCATATATATTTTTTAAAATGCATCACAAATATATTGCGCATTGTATATTATTTATAAGTATACAACAAAAAGATCGAATAATATATACAAGTATATAAAATTTGACATTCACATATGTATACATGATGTTAATTACACACATGTATACTCTCTCAAGCAATCATTTTACATATCATTCATCATAATATCATTAATCATCTTAACAATACAAATTACCAATTCAATCCAATTTTTAAAGAATAAAAATAAAATCAATTTTTTTTCTTTTAAGAATACGAATTCAATAATCTGATCAACTAAAAATTTCGAAGACCTTAAATAAAAATATAATTTTTTTGATGTATACTCCAGAAATATGAAATTAATAATAATAAAAAAAGAGTCTCCAAACATATTAGAAGCGGAAGAGAGCTAAACCAAAAATTGGATGTAATTGACTGTTCTAAGAATGTTGTCTAGTTTTATTTCTATTAAAAAATTGATGGAGATTTTTTTCGATTAAATGTCATCTACTATAAGATATTGATTATTCACGAGACAGTGGAACAAAACTTACATGGAAAAATATAAATTTATTACAAATTTGCAAGTTTATAATTGAGCTTAGGCTGAAAATATGAGTGTTTATGACAAACTGATAGTCTCAGTATTTGTAAAAAATTGAAAATAAAAAATATGATGAAAAATACTTTTATCAGTAAAAAAATAATTTTTAAAAAATCACAATAGTATCATATACATGAAACTGTTATCACATCATTTTTTTTTACCAATCTATCTTCATTTAATAAATATCCAGTATGTTCAAGCATAAGGAAACTAATCTTGATTTTCATGACTCCATTCTTAATAAACTATTTATCCGAATTTTAAAATAATCTATCAATTATTATGATGTATAAAGATAACAATCAAAGCATATAAGATGAATATGATAAAGTATTTATATAAATAGTAGTAATAACTTATTATACATATTGACATGTATTATATTTAAGCTCCAAGACAAGTGACATATAAGTCGTCACACACGACCGTAAATATATTCTAATTTATTTTCTTTTAGCAATGCATCAATCAATTAGAGAGCATGGAGTTCTTTCAAAATTTCATTAGTAAACAATTAATTATAACTTAAATTCACTGGTCATAAGATAACACTCATTAAGTCATTATTTGCTTAGCAAATCATTATGCTAAATCAATAATAATACATCAATATGATTCAAAAGAACAAACAATAATTGTTGTTGAAATATAAAAAATCTCATATATATATTCTATATGAAGTCAATTTTGTTAGGGGACGCTTTATCTCTCAGTGATACTTTTCGGCACAAATTCAGATTTAATCGGGTTTCAATGTGAGTACCGAACAACGAATAAAAACCAAAAAAAAACATTGTCAATAAGCATCTAAAAAGTAACTAAGC